GAAGAAATTTTAATTCAATTGTTAAAAGATACTTGGATTTTTTAAATAATTTTTTAAGAAAATTATCAAATTAATTGAAACTTTTTGAAAGATTTTATTTAACAAAATACAATTTGTTAAAAAAAATTTTATTAAAAAAAATGCGAAATTTCAATGAATTTTAATTTAATGATTAAAAAATAATTTAATAGAATTTTACAGAGAATCACAAATAAATGATTCATTTTTGTTAATGTAAAAAGCAGTATTAAAGGTGCTAAGCCGTATCTAAAATAACTTAATTAAGAAAGAGTTTCAATTTTAATTTTTATTAATTAGTACCTAAATTTTTAAAAAAATTTAAATTACAAATTTTTTTAAATAGAAATTTAAAAAAAAAATATTTAAAATTCCGAAAACTATTTTTTTCAATATTTAATTTTAATTCTATGTTTGATAAATGAATTGAAATTAATTGAATTTTTATAAACTAATTGAAATTTCCTAACAGTCTAATAATTTGAATTTTTTATTGAATTTTTAAAGAATTTTATTGGAATTTTATAAATAATCTAGGGAAGTTTGACACAGTAGCTAATTTTATTTACAACTGTATTTTAATTCATTTTAATTAAATCTCATATAATACATATTACAATTTTTTAGAGTAATCAGGAAAAAGTTAAAATTCTTCTTGAAAATCAGGGAAATGTCAAAATTCTACCTGAAAATCAGGGAAAACGAAATATAATTTTTGTGGCAATCCTGTAATTACTTAATTAGTAAAAATTTATTGTAAAAATAACAAAATAAAAATAATTTAATAAAAAAAATGCTACTAAATATTAGTTTTAGATATTAATAGAATATTTTTCTTTTTCAATAAATAAAAATAAATATACAAAAATAATTTGAAGTGCGTGTATATATTTTTATTGGGTGAAAAATTAAATATGAAATCAAGCAAATAAAAAGCGAACAAATAAAATTAGAATCGTGCATTCAGGATAATAGAATTGCAATTTTTTTTCTCAATGTAACACTCTGATTGGTTAAATCAGGTTTTGTATATATGTATATATATATATATATCTGACGAGTGTCGCTGTTTCTATGTATATATACATATATACATAAATACTTTTCAAAGCGAGAACCGATTGATTAAATCAGATTCTATGTGTTTCCAAGTGTCACAATCGAGCTTACAAGTGGATTTCTGTATATATGCGCGTGCATCAGTGTATGCATAGAATGAGAGACACGCGATATTCGAGTCTACGAGATACTCGAGTAAAATCATGCACAAAGGATGTAGTATTATTAAACGAATCCAATAATTATTTGTATATAACTTTCTTTTATACAAAAATTTATTTTTTTAAAAATTGAAACATTATTTCTTTGTTTTTTTCGTATCAAGTAAAATTTAATCAAGTCATTGAACGAATTATAAAATTTTTGATAATTCTAACATTATTTTTTAATAACAATATAATATTGATAATAATATATTAATAATAATATATTGATAATAATATATTGATAATAACATACCCTAATAAACTTTTAATTTTATGAACAACTTAAATATATTTTAAACATTTTTTATGCTACCGTAAATTATTTACATTTTCATACACGAAACGAAGTGGAGTTATTTTTGTTTTTTTTTGTTTTTGTGAGAACATATTTATTGTTTAAAAAAAGGAAATAATTTAAAAAATGGTCCCACTGTTTTCAGAAATAAATTAAAATTGCAAAGGGATTTGGATATTGATTGGTTTGAAAATTAATATAAAATTTGATATTTTTCACAAAAGAAAAGACAGAAAATTGAGAAAATAATTTAGGAAAAATTTTTTTTTTTATGTAAAAACTTAATAAATTAATCTTCTAAAAGAGTTTTCCCACTTAGAAAATTGCCATAAAAAGTACAAAAAAAGGAGCAAATATTTCAAAAAAATTGAGAAAATAATTGGGGATAAATTTTTTCTTTTTTGTAAAAATTAATTCAATTATTTTTGCAAAGAGTTTTTACAACTTTGAAAACTGATATAATAAAAACCACAAAAGAAAAGAGAGAAAATAATTCAGAAATTTGAGAAAATAATTTGGGAGAAGTTTTTGTAACAATTTTATTTTGCAAAAAGGTTTTTACAACCTGGAAAATGGATACGAAAAAAAGCATACAAGAGAGAAAATAAGTCGGAAAATTGAGAAAATTTCAGATGAATTTTTTTTTTTTTGTAAAAATTATAAAGTGGAATAATTTATAGAGCAAATTTTTTTTAACTTTTATTCTCGATCGAAACTGGAATTTTATATACATATTACAATTTGTTAAAGCTATATTTTCTCTATTCTCGTTCATTTTTTATTATTTCTTTTTCTTACTTTATTTTATGAACACTTAAATTAATACTTTTTTTAGTACTTTTAAAGAATTTCGATTATTATTCATATTCTTAACTTTATATATATGTGTATGTAAAAATGAAATATAATTTTTATATATAAATTGTATTTTTCGTTCTTTTTCATGGAGTTTTTGATTTCTTTAATTTTCAAAAAGTCCAAGAAAAGTTAATCAATATCATAAATTACTCTTTTTTTTCTTGTAAAATTAGTCGTATTTATTTAATTTTACATTTTTTATTATACTCATATTTTAATTCATCAATTTTCCATGCTTGAGAAAAATGGTAAATGACGTCATTTTTATACATTTAGGAAAAATAATAGAAAATTTGAATTATTTCGAATATTAGATATGTTTAACGAATAGAAAATACTTAGCTATAAATTTCATTGTTTTTCAAAAGGAAATATTAAAATTTAGTTAAATTATGAAAAAGTTGTTTTTTCATTTAAAAATAATTTTTAAATAAAAAATATATTTCTTAATATAGGAAATTTAATAAAAAAAACTTTTAATTTATTTTTCACTTTTTAGAATGTTGAATAAAATTAGATTTAATTTACTTGACGTTATTTACAAAATATTTAAATTCGAATCTAAAATTTAGATATATCTATATAATTTTTTTAGACAAATATTTTATTGAAACACATAATCTTCCTTATCAGTCTTATTCTTATCAGTCTAATAACAATTATTTATCATTAGACTGATAATTCTTTTTTTTTAGAAACGTGTAAAAAAATTTTCACCTCATTAGAATGAGAAGATTTGAATTATAATGATTTCGACTTCTAGAGTGGAAATTTAATATTAAATTCAAAAGGGTGTTTTTTTTTAAATGCAATTAATTTTTAAGTAAATTATTTCTTAACCATGTCGTGAATTTCTTCTTCATTGAAAAAGTTATAAAATTCTATTATTAATTTTCTTTAACTATTTTTTAAACTTATTTTATTAGATATGCTAAAAATGATAAAATTTCAAATTTATTATATATCACAAAATAATATTTTATATAAATATATAGCCCTAAAAAATTATTAGAGAATAATATTTTGATTGAAAGAAAACAAATCTGAAGCATTCTGTAAGTTAATTAATAATGAATTTTAATTATCGAAGCAATTACTTTTCATTGAATAATTAATTACCATTAGTTAATTAATTAATTACTTTTAATTAATTGCTCATTTTTGAAAGAATTATATTTTAAACTATTCAGTTAATAATTAATTGTGGCAAATGGTATTTAAGAAGAAAATTTTATTCTATTAATTTCTTTAAATTTATAATTTACTTAAGAAAACGTTCTTACAAAAACTTTTTAAAAATATTAAATTTATCAGCGCAGGAACTGTTATGAGACTTTGTCGCACTTTGTTTAAATATTCGGAACACATGAATATTTCTCCCAAAATACATAAGTTTTTATGTATTTTCCATAGAAGTGAATTTGAATTAAGAATAAAATAAATAATAATACAAATTTTTACAAAGAGTAGAAATAAATTTCAACAAATTTTTCTTAATTATTTATTAGAAAACTATAAAATAAAAAAATTTTGCGACAACTATTGAGATGGAAATAAATTACAATCTAATATTTAACATTTTTAACAAAAATTCACAAGTTTTTTTTTAATATTCGATTTTTTTACTGTACACTTTTAACGAGAGTTATTTAAATATATCGAAAAAAATTATGATTCGTAAATTTTCAGTGTTTTAAAATTTATGAGGTTTAATTTCGCCTTTCACTGAATTTTATAGAGTAGAATTTATTTTTTTTTATTTTTAAGAAGACTTTTGGGGTTACTGGTTAAAAATTTAAAGTCAATTATTTAAAATTTGCTGACAAAAATTATATCAAAAAAAAAAAAACTTTGTATTGGTGTTCGCGAATTTTAAAAATGTATTTTGAAAGTCGTCATTTCGAATTTTAAAAAAACTGACTTTATATCTGTAAGCAGTGACCTAAAAACCTGAATTGTAAATTTAAACAATTTTTGTTGACATTTATATTAATTTAATTTTTAAATATTAATTCACCCATTCCGTTCGTTTTACCGTCTTTCGGAATCTATAAGAAAATTTAACTTTTGACTTGAGGATAAAAAGTTGTGATAGTTTAAAAAAAGCACAAATTTTTGGTGTTTTTTTCATTAAAACTATATTTTTGATTGGAAATCGCTTTAGGAAAAATTAGACAATTTTTATAAACAAATTATGATTTGAAAGATACAAATATTCTCGAAAAACATATTTTTTCATATCGCTCTTATTTTTATAGTTGTAATCAATTTTGAAAATAAAAATTGTTTAACATTATTATTTAACAATGTTATAAACAATTTTATAAACTAATTTAGAATTGATAACAATTGGAGCTGAAAAAAATGATTTCTTGATTTTTTTACTGTTTACTTAATGAATCTTAAGGATAAAAATTATATATTATATTTTCGTACTAAAATGTTGTCAAAACGTTTTTAGAATGTCTCATGTTCGGCAAATAATATTCCAAAATATTTTAAGAACATAGATGTTTAAATAATGTTCTAAAACATTATTTGATGGACATAAAAATTTCTAAAAACGTTTTAAGAATATTTTTGGAACGAACATGGTTTTTGCTCATTGCGTACTTAATGAGGTTTAGATTAGTAAGAATTCTACTGCATAATATTTGGTTTCAACAGAAAATAACTTTTTAAACCACTGAAAATTTAGGTCGCTGAATTTTTTTCAGACATATTTCTGCATCTTTTTTTATTTATTTATTCTTCTTTTTTTTTGCGTGCTTTTCTTTTTAAAATTGAATCAGTCGTTTTATCAGGACTGATATAAAAGCGTAAAGTGTGCGTGAAATATATTTAACATATGAAGATAGAGGAGATAAATGTTTATTTTTGAAATTATTCTGAGATATCAGCGTACGAATCGAGCACCGCCACAGAGTATCCTCTTGAAGGCCTGTCGGAATTCGGGACTGAAAATTGTATAAATTACAGGATTAAGGGTACTATTGAAATATCCGAGCCAGAGGAAAAAACTGTAAACGACAGGTGGTAGCTGTAAAGACGTGAAAAATGTTTGGAGTAATGTTACCAGAAAAAATGGCAACCAACAAGCGACGAAGGCACCGGTTATGATAGCCAATGTTTTCGCGGCTTTTCTCTCGCGTTTCGCCTCTATTGTCTCACGCGTTTTCCTTGTCGATGACGTTGTTATAGTTGTTGTTGTCGTCGTCGTCGTTGGGACTGGCGTTGTCTCTGATGATGTCGTCGCCAATGTTGTCATTGTCGTTGTTGTTGTTGTTGTTGTCGTTAACGCAACAGTTGTCGACGATTGTTGTTGAATATTTGCTCCATTATAGGAAGATTTCTCTGGTGAAACTGACGAGTGATCTGGAGTTGAACGTGTTATTGTAAAGGCAGTTGATTCCTCTCTAGGTCTAAAACAGATAAGTGAGAGAGAAAAAAATTTGAGAGAAATATCTTCTCAATTAGATATTTTTATTCTTTTTCTAAATTTCATTAACTCTCGGGAAATTTAATAGATTTTTCATTGTGAATAAAAGAATTTATTTTCCCACCCATTTCTATTCAACTGTTTGCGGTAAATATAAAAGATAAATTTTTTCCATTATTGCAGTTCACTTCCGTTTCTATCAGAAAACTTTGACGTCAATTTTCTCGCGCCGGTGATATTTGTTCGTTTTACTTTATAACTAAAGGCAAACTTAAATTGACTTATCCTAAGATTACTGAAAGTGACTTGAATGCATTGAATATGAATTAAAAAATGATGGCTCTCCTCATCAAACATTCCACAAAGAGAAAATAGTTGGAAATTATTTACTCAACTTCGGTTTTTAATTGTGTTTTCTCTAGGTAATAAAATATTATCTGTTAGTGTCTTTTCTAAGTATAATAAGTTTTTTATTTTTCAATTAATATAAACTGAAAAATAAAAAACTCTACTTATCAAACATTCCACAAAGAAAGAATACCAAAACAATTATTTGCTTAATTTGTGTTTTAATTGTGTTCTTTTCAGGTAAAAAACATTTATTTTGTTGGTGTTTTTCCTAAGTATTTTATAATGGCAATTAATACACGAAAAAGAATTAATAAAAAATTTATTTGTTAGTGTTTTTCCTAAGTATTTACAAAATTACAATTAATACACGAAAAGTACGCAATAACGTTAACGTCTCAAAAAAGTTTTTAAAAAGTTTTAACATTTATTGTTCCTCTTTATTGAAGATAAAATTAATAATAATAATAATAATAATGAATAGGTACATGTAGAAAGGAAAATTTCATGTATAAAATAAAAATTTAATTAGACAGTTATTATTTAACGTTAACGATAATATGTTTTAGGAATAATGATTAACTTGAAACAAAGTAAATAGAGAAAGTATATTTAGTATTAATTTCTATATTGTTAAATAATGTTAATAAATAATAAAGTTGAGTGTACATTAAATAATTAAATGTACTCATTAAAAGGCTTTTATCGTTGATAATATTCTAGTATCGAGTTTTAATTGAAAATAACGTTTTATCAGTTTAATTAATATTTAATTAATTTATGATAGCTAATGAATATCAGACACGAAGTAGAAGTAAATAAAGGAACGGAACAAAAGTTGCCCAAATATGTATTTTCATTGAAAGTTAAATTTACTGAATTTTCGTATACATTGCTTCTGTTAATATTATGATTATTATTTTATTATTATTATAAATATAGTTTTTAATATTATAAATTTAAACCTTCAGTTAACGATAAAATCACAAAATTACTTTTAACCTCAATTGAAATCCGCTTTAAAATTTAAATAGGCGCGATTGTTCACAATTTAATTCAGTATTCATAGAATAAAATAGTAAATTAAATTGCGTCTGAACGAACGTAGATTTTATCACTGAATGCCTCACGAAACGTACATTATTATCAATGAATACTTGCTTCTCCTATTTTTTATGTTAAAAAAAATCTTTTAATATTTCAGTTTAAAATAATAAAATTGAACATTTTATTTTATTTTATCTGAAATGTCTCGAAATTCAATTATTTTGTATAAGTTTAAAATTTTATTAAAATTCTTCAAATGACTACAATTATTATAAAAAAATTTTGATATTATTTGTTTATTAGAATTTAATAATTATTTTCAAATTTCAATACATTATTAATTAAATTTCTTGAAAGAATTATATAATTTTCAAAAATTTTAATGAAATTCTTCGTTATTTACTCATTTATTTTTGTAAAAATTTTGAAGAATAGTTTTTTAATAAATTGTTAAAAAAAATATACCTTTTTTTCACGAGCCTCAAAATTCCTCTTCTTTCGCGAGGAGGTTGTATCGTTGTTCCAGGTCTTTTTCTAATTCGTCTTCTTGCTGCCTGAAATATCTTCCAGTAGAGAAATAAAATAACCAATAGCGGAAGATAGAATGTTGCACAGGTGGCAAAAATCTGTAACATAAAATAAAATTCTCACTCTCCATAAATTTGTAGAATAATATTCTTATTTATAATAGAAAAACTTTAATTCTAACATTATTATATTCAAAGTACAATCCGCATTTTATTTTTAGTACTTTTATGTAAAATATTTGTACATAAAAATAATTTAGAGCAAAAGAAAAAAAACTTGAGATAAAATTTTGAAACTACATAAAATGTGTGAATAAATTGATAGTTGCAATATATATATATATAGTTATGATAAAAACAATAAATTGCAAATGGATTTTAAAACTAAATGTCGAGAAGATGTAAAAGGAGATAAAGATATACAACTATATTTATATAAAAATGAGAATCGAGCTTTATTTTGAATAAAACAGCTTTTAACAAACAGATACTTTTTTGAAAGAGACGAGAAATAACGACATATCGTTAAATCTACATTTTTATATTCCCTCCTCTGAAGGGGAATGCTTTATAGTAACCGTAAAAAAGTCAATTTAACTTTGCTTTTGGTTAGAAAAGCGAAACGATAGTGGATCACTTGAGAAAAAGAAAATGTAAGTCAATGAACGATAATGGCGAGAGTGCGCTAAAAATATGCAAATGTACGAGAGTGGTTTCGTCAATTGAAACTAGACCTCGTTTGCGAAAGAATATTTTTGCATATTAGAGATAAAAAATAAATTTTCTTCTCATAATTTATACGAAAACTATCGAATATTACTTTAATCCTGCCTCCATTTTTATTACAAGTTACAGGGTTGCCACAGGTCAGGGAAATCAGGGAAAAGTCAGGGATTTTTATTAAAACTTTAAAAGTACTGGAAAAAATTTAGTTTTTAGAATTCATAAGAAAATTCTGAATTTTTTGTGTCTTTTTTGTCTGCTTCATAAACTATGAAACTACCACGAATTCTAATACAAAACCCTCAAAATTTTTTTCTATTTCAGAAAAGAATTAATTTAATTTAATGTTATTTAATTATTTCAAAAGTTTTAATGCAATTATCTTAATAAATAACAAATTTCTTCACAAAAATTCAATTATTTTTAGGAATTTGAATAAAATTCTTTGCAAAATTCAATTATTTTCATCGCAGAATTTCAAATATTTTTATTACAATTTTAAATAAACTCCTCGAAAAATGCATTTATTCTTGAAAATTTTATTAAAACTTGACGAAAGAATTCAATTTTAAGAAACATTAAATTATTCAATAAAATAAAAAAATCTGTTGCAAAAATCAATTATTTTTATAAATAACTTTTTATTCGTCGCAGAAAATCAATTATTTTCAAAAAAATTTTTAAGCAATTCTGCAAAAGAATTCAATTATTTTCATAAATAACAGTATTCATCACAAGAATTGAATTATTTTTAAAACTAATCTTAAAAATTCAATTATTTAAAAAAATTCTAATAAAATCGTTAGCCAGAATTCAATTATATTCATAAATAATAAAATTCTTTTCAGAAATTAAATTATTTTCAAAAATAAAAAAATTCTTCGCAGATATTCAATTATGTTCAAAGAATTAAAAAAAATCGACTTCTTGTTTTGTAATAATATTCTTATAAGTTGTTGAATTTCAAAAAGGTTAGAATTTAAATGTTTTGAAGAATTATAATTCCTACGGAAAAATAATAATGATTAAATATTTATTTAAAAAAGAAGTTATTAGTGCTTTTGAATAATTTTACAATTAAAGAAATGCGTAAACAAATGTATTATAATTCTCGAAGGAAAAATTAAATGAAACTCAAATTTTTTTATTTTTTGACATTAATTCAATCAGAATATTCTTTAGGGTCAGGAAAAATAGAATTATTTTCCAGATTCAGAATTATATTTCCAGATAGAAAATTCTATCTGTAAATCAGAGAAAAGTTAGGGAAAAACAAAATTAAATTTTTGTGGCAACCCTGAAGTATAATAAATTAATAATTATTATTTCCAATTGTTTTTCTCATACAATTGTATGAAGTAATTAAATTTATGTTTTGCAAGTGGGGAAAGAATATTCCTTAAAATTCGGTTAATATAAAAAGTTGTAAAATTCACTTCTCAATCTCGATGAGAAGTGATCTCGATGGTGGGAAATGAATGGAATGAAAGACGAGAGGTAGTGTAAGAGACAAGTTCAGAAGGGGGATAACATTGACGAGAGAAGAAGTTGATGGTCCGGGACGAATGAATGGCGTGACACTAATTCGATCAAGTCTTAACTAACATTTGATGCGCGAGATTATCAGGCCTTCTATCCCGGTTAATCCACTAAACGCGCTAAAGGGCTTCTTCGTAAAACACGATCAAAACTTTTCTTTACTTTTATTGAGTTTTTCGATGTCAGCTACTACTCTCAGGACTAATATATATATATATATATACTCGCAACTTATATTCTATCTCTACTTTCAGAATTTTAAGACTAATTTTTCTTCTCCAAAACTTTTCTATATACTTTCATAATAATTAACTTAAATATCCATAACTTTAAATGGATGTTGTTGGTTTTTTGTCAAAAAGAAATCCTAATTTTCACTTTTTGATAGTTATAAAATTTTAATTAAATTTCTAAAAAACTTGAGAGTTGGGTTTTTTTGAAAATAAGAGAATTAAGGGGAAAAAAAGTCTGTTGGGGGCTTAACTAAGTTTCTGAAAGGCTTTGTTGCTTATTTGCATAACATTATGTATATCGATTATGGTAATTAGAATGCCAAGGATTAGTTTAATGTTTAACTAAATACACCTTATTTGAAATTAAAACATTAAATTACCGCAAGAGGAAGAAAATAATGAGTTTATTTAGAAACTCTATTTTCATTTCGAATAATTTTACTTTTAGAGAAATTTCCAAATAAATGTAATATAGAAATTTTTTTTTGAGTAACTATAATAATTTTTAGAGTAAATCAAAATATTCTTTAAGGTCAGAAAAAAAGTCAAAATTTTTTTCTAAAAATCAGGGAAGAACAAAATTTAATTTTTCTGACAGCCCTGTAAATAAAATCTCCATGAATAAAATTGAGTATTCGAAAGAGTCAACATAAATTCTCCCTATTTACCTTGGATTTAAAATCAAAGGAAGGACAAGATTTCCCGCATTGATCAGAGAAAAACCTACTTTACAAGATTCTATTCGACAAAGAAAATAGAAGAAGAATAAATCCCTTTGCGTTGTTTTCGATTTCTTAGGTAATTTAAAAAAAAAATTATTTGTAATAAAAAAGAAGAAGGAAAATAATTTATATCCTTCTGTTTTTGAAAAAAAAAAAAATATTTACAATATATGAGGCATATTTCTCACCTGATAAGCTGGATCTTGAGAAATTAGGCACTTCCCTTGGGCAATGCGATCCAAATAACCGGGATCCTTCCAGCCGAGTTGAGGTGCCAATGAGATTCCCAAGGAAACCACCCACACGGCCACTACTAGGAATCCGATACGTCTTGGATTTCTCGCCTGGAAGCAGAAAACTGTCCTCTCGTATTTTTCTCAATAGACAAGCATTTTATACTCGAAATATAATTCAATTAAATCGACCCTTGAGAAAAGTATTAATATTAGGAAATTATACCGAAAAGGATACATTTAAAAAAAAGAAATATTGACAATTGAAGAAAACTTGTATTAAAATTTTTTTAATTAATATCAATTGTTTTTTTTTTCAGATAAAAAAATTTATTTCTTGGTGTTTTTCCTAAATATTAAACAAAAATAAGCAATAATTGCACAAAGGACCATTAAAAATATTAAAATAATTCAGAGAATATTAAAAATGCAGTTTTCATTAATTTCAATTAAAGAATAAAGAATTATAAAAGTGTTAAACGTTCAAACGAAAAGAAATTTTCGCCATTCAAAAAATTTCTTGTAAATGTTATTGATTGTTATAAAAATTAAACAACTTTAATTTAACATTTACTAAGTTTATAATTAATTTTTTTTATGAGACTGAAAGATTTGAATAAGATATAAATAAATTTCAGTGATGAACGTTCGAAATGTTAGGAATATGAATTAAATTATAATATTTAGATATAAAGGAGCATTAAATAAATTTTCTAGAAGGTTAAACATTTATTTATGTTTTATTAATTTGAGTTAAATTATAATATTAAAATATAAAAAACTATTTCAAGCAATTTACAGAATGTTAAACATTTGTTTATCATTTATTTGAATTAAATTATGTTTAAATATAAAAAAACTATTTCAGAAAATTTACAGAATGTTAAACATTTGTTTTTCTTTTATTTGAATTAAATTATAATATTTAATATGAATGAAGAGAAATGAAAATAGATGAGTGGAAATTTTTCATAATCATAAAATTTTCACTACGTAAAATGTTTAACTCTTGCTTTGAGGAGAAGAAAACGAAGCACAAAGAACCATTGAAATAATTTTCTTTGATATTTCTATATATAAAAGTTAATGAACTATATTTTGTTGGTTGAAAATCTGTTATATAAACTCGGGGAATATAATTTAATTCATCGGAGCGGTTCATAAATAAAACAGTATACTCTTTAGTATACTACTACTAAAAATTATTAAAAAATAATATAATAAATAATAAAAATGATCATTAAAATATAAAGAAATTTAAAAATAAAAGAGAGTGATAAAAATGAAAAGAAAATCTAAACAGTATAGAAAACAAATTTGAGCAATATTCAACTGGCTTAAAATAAAGAGAATAGAACGTTATTCAGAAATTATAATAACTAACGGAAACTTGGAAAAGAAGATTAATTTCATTGACATTAAATCGCGAGAAATTCATAGACTAATCTGCCTCTATTAATCGAACAGTCAGAACTATTGCGAAATTAATATCCGTCCAGAGGGGTTAGAGAATAGTTTCACCATAATTCGATTCCATTTCCTTTCAAGCCTGGCAATAAATCTATCAAGTTTTAGGACTAAATCAATTCAAAGTCGAGTAATCATGCACTGTGTTCCGTCTAGTAGAATTATATCCAAATCTAAACTGTTTTAATGCTCAATTAAGAGCTGCTTTATGCACGAATCAAAACATATCCTTTATATACAAACACATATATTCCACGAAATGCAGTTTGAAAATTATTTCATTAATCGTGAAAATGGAGAGAAACCTTTAATGTGAATATACAATATACATTATTAATTCTATTCTATTGGAAATTTAATTCTTTGGAAAAAAGGAAAATTATAAATATCGGATGTTTATTCGTAATTGGTAATATAAATTATCGAATACTATTTTTCTTTTTTTCTCTTCTTTTTTTTGAAGAATAATTGATTCTTTTTTTTGGGGTAGTGAGAGAGATGAACTAATTTGCAAAGATGAATGTGTATATAAAAAAGGTGATTTTCCAGAGATCTCGGGTGTTGACCCAAATAGAAAATTTACGCCACACTGAATTCGTCACATTTTCTGCAGATAAAAAACAAATCCTGACAGACGCAATTCTCGCCACAGCTGTTGTGAAGTACTTAACGTTGGGGGCAGAGGGTTTTAGTCCTTTTAAATTGGAATACGTTGAAAATTCGCCAAACAATATTTTTCGTTCCACATGTGTGTGTATATATATATACCTATTCTTTTAAAGTTAATTTCAAAGAAAAACCTGTTTTTTATTAAGTTCAAAAAGAATGAAATTTTTTAACTAAATTTTTGTTATTTATTCTTTGGACTATAATTTTATTTCAAGAATATAATTATACTTTAAAACAAATTTATTTATTTTATTTATGTTTATATTATAACTAGCATAAATATATACGCGCCTTAAATTTTAAAACTCATTGTTTGTTACAAAAACTTTTTGTTTGTAACTTAATGAAAATTTATTATTTTCTAAAAAATATTGTTTTTCGTAATATAATTCTTTAAAAATACGATTAGATTTCAAAACAATTTTTAAAAGTAGGGGAATGTAGTCAAGGTTGGCCTACTGTCTAGGTAGGCCACTCGCGTTTTTTTGTCAAGTTCACTAGCGCCACCTACGCGCATTTTTGTCGAAGCTTGTCTTAGTGAAACCTAACTTTTTGTTCAATTACATTTTCGGAAAATCGAAAATTGTGTTTTCTGTGACGTCGGTACAAAAAAAGCTCAAAAAAAGTTTTGTGCATAATGTGAAAAACCATTAATAAAAGATAAAAAACAAATTGAATCGTCAAGGCAAGTATGCAGAAAATTTGTGGGACTCATGGTTGAAAGGAAAACAAAGTAAAAAATCGAATCCCGAAACGTATTTCTTTTTGTTTACAACAATTCGGTAATGTTACTTACTGTCAAGGTCGGCCACTATGTGTTTAAAATGCGCAAAGTTGAGGACGAGCTACTTCATTTGCAAAAACTGCAATTCTGTATAACTCATAATATAATTGATCATCTTATTAATATTTTTATTTAATTTTATTAATATTTTAGTGCAAAACTTTTTTTTATTTATATTTATTTTTTTATATTGTTTATTGTTATTATTTTGTTATTTCATTAAGTTACAAACTGTAAACAATAAAGAATCAATTTTCCGTAACTCCAAACATGTTATTTTATTTTTTAACGATTAATGCCCTTTGAATTTTAAACATGGCCGACCTTGACTGTAATGGCCAACCTGGACTACAAATTTTTTTTTTTTTAAATCTTTATAACTTTTTCATTTTTAAACCTGTCAATTTACTTTGTACAGAAAAAATGTTCCTATTAAACAGGACTTTCCAACCATATACTTCAATTGTCCAAATTCATTTTTAAAAAAAAGTTATAAACAAAAGTCAAAAAGGTGGCCGACCTAGACTATGTTCCCCTATAATAGAATAAAATTTTTTCGAATACAAAATTTCAATGAAATTTAATCAAACTTTTAATTGCAGGGTGGCCGTAAGTCAGGAAAAACTAGAAATCAGGGAAAAATCAGGAAATTTTGAAAATAAAATTTTGCGGCCACCCTGAATTGTCTCAATTTTTAAAATTATTTTCGGGAATTAATTTATCTTCAAAAAAATTTTAATTACAATTTTTTAAACACCTAATTTTTTTTAGAATTTCTACATTAAATTATATTTGAAAATTCAATAATTTTTGTGAAACAAATATTTAAAAACCTATTGTTATTTATTTTAATTGCAATTTTAAATAATTTTAATATAAAACCTTTTGAAATCTAAATATTTCTAAAAATTCTAAACTACAATTTCCAAATCAGAATTTTCAAGAGTCAATTATTTTTTAGAATTTTTAATGAAATTATTTAAAACTTTAATAATTTTTAAGGATAGGGTACACCGGTATTTTTAATTATATGAAAAAAACAATTAAAATATTCCATAACAGTGTTTTTCTAGTAATTTTTCGATAGGATTCAAATGGTCCTTTTTGAATTCTTATTATTCTTAAAAATTAGTAGATTTGAAAATGCATGCGGAATTTTGTAGGTAAATATGTTTTGAAATCCACAAAGAAATTGCAAATGAAAAAATTAATTTTTACAATTTTTGAAAACAAAACTTTGTTTTTTGTCCGAAAATGCTAAAAAATAATATTTTATTACTCAATTTTTTTATTAGATAGTTTATTTGTTTATTTTTCTTACTAATTTCAGATCATAATTTTTATATATAAAAAATAGAAAATATAAAAAATGAATTTTCAAATAAAAAATTGAATACCTAATAATGGTATTTTATTAGCATTTACAGACTAAAAACAAAGTTTTATTTTCAAGAAATGGAAAAAAAATTTCAATTTAAAAAGTGAAAAACTCTTAAAATTTAATTATATCTTAAAATTCCTGTTAAAACACTTCTATAATATTCAGTGTTATTTTTAAAAATTTTAACTAAAATTCTCTTTAAATCAATTCCTATTAAAATATTTAAAATTCAACGATAGCTGAATAATTTAAATACAAAAATTTTTGTAAAATTTAGTTCTCTTACAAATTTTTTATTTCAATTCTTAAAAAAATACAATAATATTTAAAAATATTTTTTTTAAGTGAAAAAATAAAATTCTTTAAAACATAAAATTTATTTTAATGCGAAATTTTAGAAAATTTCATGTTTTTTTCAATTTTTTAAAAATTATTTTCGGGAATCCAATTATTTAAAAAAAAAATTTTAATCACTGTTTTTTTAAAAGCTAATTTTTTTAGAATTTCTAAATAAAATTTTTCAAATTTCATTAATGTTTATTTAAATAGTTATTGTTATTTATTTGTCCACCATCAGGAATTAAAATTTCAAAATACTCTCAATGTAAAACTTTTTGAAATTTAATTATTTCTAAAAATTTGAACTGCAATTCAAATATATATTCTGAAATTTTTACTGAAATTATTTTTCAAATGAATTCTTATCAAAAAGTTCTATGAGAATTTAATTATTTAAATATAAAAGTAAGTGATAAAATAATTGATTATTTCTAAAGATGGCATCAGTTACTCTACTTATGGATTTTTTTTAATTTGAGAAAGAAAATTCAAAGGCTAAGAAGTAAAGATTTTCAATAATTTGATATTTTTTAATACTTTAGATTCCTTCTGACAATATACTTTAGATAAAATTTCCTTACTTTACTTATTTTTCTACCTGTGAAAATTATTTATTATTATTTTCATTATTATTTTTTTTTATTATTTATTATTGTCAAAATTGTAAAGGAATTAATTTTACTGAAACACTAGTCACTATGTTTACAAATTAATTGTCGAACTTTTGACATGACAATTTGAGCTGTAAAGCAATTTGGAATCAAAAAGCCCTAACTTCACGTGAGGACAGAATATCTCGATTATTATTATATAAATTTATACTATATTTTTATTTTTATTCTAATGAATTTATTAATTTAATTATTTATTTAATAATTAATTAATATATAATAAAAATTTGATAATAATTGAAAAAGATAAATTTGAAACAAAAGGTAATAAAATTTGGATAGTTAGTTGCAGTTGTTGAAATTGTCCTAGTTTTGTATGTTTCAATAATAATAATTCTAATAATAATAATATTATTATTATTATTATTATTATTATTTAAGGCATATATTTTTTCGGTTTTATTACTTTCTTATTTTGTTATTAAAAATACGAATGTCTTTTTGAAATGAAAGGGATGTTTCATTAGTTGAAATTAGCTTTAAATTAATAAGATGAAAAGAAGCTTTTATAAAGTCATTTCTTTTTTTTCAGGAGGAAAATCTGCCGCAAATAACCATTTTATTCACCATGCAGCCTTCAATCTTTGGTAAGTAACTCTCAGTCCATAGCATCTTTACTCTCTCTAGACAACAATTTCTAAAGAATTTTTACATCTTTCTTCTTGATTCACAAACACGTGCAAACAACAAAAGTTTTCCTGAGCCACAAAAAGAGTTATGAACCATGAATCCTCAGGAGTAGCTTTTCTCAGACAGGAAACGTTGACGGTTCAGAAAATGCATCGCTGCTTTTCTTTTTTCTTCAGGTCTCGCTGTCTTACAAAAAAAAAATATTCTATCTCGGTTTTTTTAAAATTATTTATCCCAAATAAATTTTAATTAATTAATTTTTCTTATTTTTCTCATTTTGCCTAAATATTAATTTAGGCAAAATAAGGAAAATAAGAAAATTTCACCCTAAAATGATGAATATAAAAAATCTGAGAACTTTTCATTTTTTATGAGAATGTAATATAAGAAACACTGAAGAAAAAGTAGTTCAAAAATTTTTTATGAACTATGAAACAATTTTTTTTTTTAAATGAAAATTGAAAAAAGTTTTTAAAAGTAAATTTCTTGAATGTGAAGATTCTCTCTCTCTCTCTCTTTCTTTCTTTTCTTTATTAAGAAGCAGGACTTATCGCTAATTTCTCTTTTGCTTCAATTAAAACTCATCCATCCATTTGGCGAAAGTCTTTTTATATAATTAAAAATTGTCGCGCACTCCAATAAGAATATTCATCAAAACTAATTTCAGCGATCAATTATATCTGCTCGGAATTACACGGTCTAATTTTCTGCAAATAATTACTCGTCTTAATTAATTTGAAATTTTTCTTGAAATACTTATATTTTCTTATCTTGAGGAAAAAAATTGTTCAATAATCAAATATCTTTAATTTAGTAATTAATTAAATATTTTTTTAATTTTTATATAATTTTATTTTAAAATAATACCTTCTGACGTGATAAAAAAAAAGTCTCGTGATGAGAATTCTCATAAAAATGCAAGAGAATTATTTCTAATCTTATAAATTATAATTAATTATGATTTGTATTAAATGAAATACGATATATCTTTTTATTTATTTTTGAATAAAATAGACGTGAAATTAAAATTGATCCCATCAGGGTAAAATTAATTTGACACTTAAATTAAATAGGATTTTTGATTCGAATAATGTGACAAGTTGACATTTTTTTTCTCAATATCAAAATAAGGGGAATGAGGATAAAAAATGATTTCTTTAAGTGAGCAAAAAAAATAACGGAGGAAAGAAAATGAAAATGTCGAATTTTATTAGAAAAACTGATTTATTACCTGTATATAATTGAGATCAGTGACAGCCCAATATCTGTCAACAGCGATAGCCACTAGATGCAATATTGAAGCTGTACAACACAGGACGTCACTACTGGTCCACATGTCACATAGTTCTGGGCCCAGAGACCATCCTGAGTTTATCTGAAATTAACATAATTATTCTCTAAAATAATTATTGTCATTTTTTCAATTTTTATTCGTTTTCAAATATTTTTTTTTCAAGGAATGAATTTTCAAATAACATATATTATATTTTAAATATTATCTGAGGAGAAAATTATTATAATTAGTTAATAGCAGGCAGTGGTGAAATTTCTTATTTAAATATCAGTTGTAAATATCAATTTTAGCTCTGAAAGTGCTAATAGAATTTCTCTAATTCGAATATAAGTAGTAAACACCAATTTTGAGTCAGGCAGAAGAAAATTATTATTTTTAATATAGTGGTAAAAGAAAATTATAGTCAGACGTATCGATATTAAAATTTGCTGTTTCACAATATTGGCTAGAAATTCTCTATTTTTTAAATGATTTTATTTTCCATTTAATCTAATTTAATTTATTATAAATTAGCTTCTAGGCCAATTTTATCACAACTGAAAATTTAATTTATGATTTATAATTCATTCTGAATATTATATATTACTCAAACGATTATTATTTAATTTATTCAGTCTTTAATTTTTTATTTGATTTTTAATAATCTGATTTTGAATTAATAATTAGATTAAATGAAAACTAAATTTAGAAATTGTAATTATATATGTAGGTATATGTATTATTGATTATTAATTTTGCTTATTTTTATATTAACGACTATTCATAATTAATTAGATTCTGAAATAATAACGAATAAAAAGAATTAGCAAAATTAATAATTATAAATAAATTATAATTAAAATTTATTTATTTATTTATTTATGAACGTGATAAGCCCGTGATTTATAATAAATAATTTGTTAACTATTTTAATCGTATTATTAAAAACAAAATAATACATAATTATTAATTATTATTTATTTTATAATTATTACTTTTTGTACTTTTACTTAAATAATTTTTTTATTATTTAATATTTACGTTGAATTTTGTTAATTGTATTTAATTTACAAAAAAAAATATTTTATTATACTCCTTTTGGAAATTAATTACTGTGCTCCGTAAATTTATGATTAGTTGATGTAATTTTGTGAAGGCACTGAGAGTCTTAGTCCTTTTTGACAAGTAAATATATCTTTTGGTGTGATAACAACACAGCACATGGCGTGAGCATTGAACGGGAACCAAAATCTAGATTGCATAATTTTGATATTTCCGTGAGATCATAAGCATGCCATATTTCACGCAAAATTCAATTCAGTACCTATCTAGTCATTCGGACGAATCACTTTGGATCTGTCAGTTACAGAGTGTAACTTGTTGAAGCATTGAAATGGAGAACAGAATCATTGAATACGATTTTAATGAAACTGATGTTATATATATATATATAATGGAAGCCTTTTAATGAACTTAATGTCGCTAACAGCTATTTTTATTCCCATTGCATTGTCTTCTTTTGTCTGGTTTTTTATGCACTTTTTATTCTTTGTTCTATTGTAACATTTGTGTTGTTATTATTATTATTATTATTATTATTATTATTATTATTATTATTATTATTATTATTATTACTATTTAAATTACTAAAATATTTATATTATTAATATTGTTATTAAATGTACAATGTAATTTGGATAATTTTAGAGAAATTACAAATGATTGCAGAAGTTCAATTATTTTCAAAACTTTTCAAAACTCAAAACTCGGAGTTATCGATATCTTCATGTTTTATAGTTATGAAAAATTTTAATTTATAGATTTTAGTAAAAAATTATTTATTTGATTTCTTATTTGACTCTTTGATTGGTTCGAGCTCTGTTATACCTGTTATAAAAATTGTTTAAGGGCAATAAGTTTTTACAAATATTGATTCGTAGTATGATATGAAAAGTTTTATACAATAAAATTATTATTAAATTAAAATTAAATATTATTATTATTATTATTATTATTATTATTATTATTATTATTATTATTATTATTATTATTATTATTATTATTATTATTATTATTATTATTATTATTATTATTATTATTATTATTATTATTATTATTATTATTATTATTGTCATTATTATTGTCATTTTTCCTTTGTCGTTTGAGATTAATTATTTTTTTCATCCCCTCTTAATATGAAAGAGGGTTCTTTTTATTTATCGAAAAATATTTCGCGCAAATATCATATTGCGGACGTATTTTTCATTTCAATTAGTTGTCCGTTGATCAGAACTTTGAGGCAAGAAGGAGAGAGAAAAAAAAAATTATGAGGGTCACGATTTTGTGAAATGGAAAATCGATGACTCAACGATCTGCTCTTATTAAATTCGAGACGCGTTTCTTTCGTTCCCGATTCATTGCTCTCTTGACTGCTTTGCTGTGCGCTTTCCCCTTCACTTTCACCCCACCCCCCCACCTCCCTCTTTTTCTTTTTAATCGTAGGTGAATTTAGTTTGAGAATTCAAGAGTTTGCATAGATCAGCCTAACATCCTTCGCATACTTATGCGGAATTAGTAAATTCTTGCAGCAAACAAAAAAAAAACATACCAAAGTACTTTTTCTTCCAAGTTTTTCATTAACTTCTCCCTGTTAAGAGTAAAATATATTTCCAAACCGACAACAATCGGAGGGTGAGAGAAAAAAGAGGAAAAATTCATTCACAATAGGGAAATGTCTATTTTTTATTTTTATTAAAATCCTTTTTGTTTGAATTGGGGAAATAAATTTTAGTTGTTGGTTTCTGTTCGTTTTTTGGTCTAATAAATTTCTTTTGTTTAAAAAAAAATGTAAATAAATGAAAAATAAATAAATTCTAGTAAAAAATAATTGAAAGTTTTTACTTGGAAATTTTTTTGAAAATTATGTTCGCTTTTTGTTGTGCGATTTTTGACCGTAATTTTACTTTTTAAAATTTATAAATTTACTTTCCTATCATTGTTCTACTTTTTTTTTGTCAATGAGATTGAAGTTAATTTTTTTGGACATTTTTTTTCGCAACAATGATTTGTTTGATTTTTTTTTCATTCTATGTAGAAATAAATATATATGTAGATGTTGCGATTGGGTGAAAGCAATTGGACGTATTTTCGATTTGTATATTTGTGTGTGAGCTGGTGTGTGTTTATCATTTGTGGGTTTTCAATACGTTCACTATAGGGCCATTTCGTCAAATCCTGATTGAGTTCCTTTCGCCGCGAGATTCAATCGATTGAATCAGCAAGGATTTCGAAAACTTTGCCCGAGAGCATTTGTGTCAAGTAACAACAATTGCTGCCCAGAGCGATTTTCCGAAGTTGTGCTTGATTTAGAAAAGCGAGAGAGAGAGAGAGAAAGTGTGACAAGGGGAATCCCTTTTGGAAAACTTATTTTGGTTTTTTGGATGGGAGATATATAAAGGGGATTTATTTGTATTTTTTATTTTATTCTGCAAAGGTTTGAAATTATTATTTGTGTTTTTTTTTAGTTTTTATCAGAACTTTTCCCTAGAATTTTAGTATCAGTAGGAAAAGTAAATTTTGTATCAGACAGGGTAAATAAAATTATTTTAACTTTAATATCAGTAGTAAAGATAAATTTTAAGTCAGACAGTGTTAATAAAATTTCTATAATAATAATAATATAAGTGGTAAAAAAAATTTAAAGTCAGACTTAACGAAAATAAATTTTTGGTAGTTTACAAAACTATTAGCCAGCTAGAAATTTTTAATTTTACACGTTTTTATAAGTAGTACAAACAATTTACAGTCAGACGGAATTATTTACTTTCCTCTTAATCAAAATATCAGTAGTAAAAGTTAATTTTAAGTCAGACAGTTCTTATAAAATTTTTCTAATTCACATATCAGTAGTAAATGTAAATTTTTAAGTTTTATTTTAATAAAAGTCCTTATTTAAATATCAGTAGTAATAGTCACTATTACTCGTAGTGCTAATACAATTTTTCTAATTCGAATATCAGTAGTAAACACCAATGTTGAGTCAGACAGCGTCAAGAAAAAAAAATTTTTGAAATAGAGTTGCAATCCTACTGATTCGACTGTATTTAACTTCTTCTGAATTTCAATATCAGTAGTAAAAGTAAATATTAAGGCAGACAGCGCTAAGAAACTTACTCTAATTCTAATATCAGTAAGAAATATAAATTCTAATTCAGACAGCAATAATATATTTTCTCTAATTCTATTGCTATTAGAAAAGTAAACTTTAAATTTGGTACTACCAATAAAATTTCTGTTTCTAATATTTCCAGTAAGATCAATTTTTAGTTAGTAAATAATAATTAATAACAATTAATTTCTAATTCAAGATTTAAAAGTAGTATAAACAATTTATAGTCTGACAGAAATAGTTTCTTTATTCTTATTTCGAATTTCAGTAATAAATTAAGCAAAGTTACGGACTTTTACGGGATTTTCGGACCTAGTTCGAGCCCTGAAATTAGTAAACATTTTTACTAATTCAAATTCAAAGAGTGAATTATTTTTTGGTTCAATTTATTTAAATAATTAATTTAATTTATTTATTACAGAAATTTTGTGAAATAATTTTCTTTTCGTGTTAGAATAAAATTGTCGTCTAAAACCAGTTTCTCGATTACTTCTTCTTTTACTTTATATGTATTTTTCTTTTCTTTTCTTTTCGTTTTATTGAAATGAGAATAGAATATGTCCGTCTGGTGAAATGATATATTTATTTGTATTCATTTCAAGGGAAATATGGCATTATTAATGTGAGAAGGGTTTTTCTTCTTTTTTCTCCCTCTCCCATTGAAATCGAAAATAGGTATATATAGGTCTATATAGCTCTACTTCACGCCCCAATCTTCGTTGCCATTTATTATATAGTTATCGCGCGCTCGATCTCGGATGGACGGGCTGGATCGAAAACGAATTTAGCGAGAGCCCAGCATCCGTCCCAATCTTCTCAATGTGCCTTCTGTATCATTTCCAGCAATGTCTCTCTCACTCCTTTAGCATTACTTCATTTTCTGGTTAAATCGACATCTCACACCCATTTTCCCCAAGGGATGATATCGTCAATT